ACTGGTCTAGGCCTCGACATCGTCTGCCCACACATCATCATGATGTCCAGTGGGTTTCTTCCTTGACAGTGTGTGAAATTTAGACTGAGGCTCACTCCTATTCAGATTTATATCTTCTTCTGTTTGTTCAATATTCAACCTCTTTTTCCTTATATTCCAACATAGATGGGAAAGTAGGAAACGGCAATAAAACAAAACAAATCGAATAACAAATACAAACATGAAAGCATCCCCTATGTTTCTGTTAACAGGTAAGTGGCTAATATGGTCTGGAAGCCTCAAAATGTCCAGTAGAAAAATTAGTTCTCCGTTAGGATATCAACCAAGAAATGTCTTCTCTCTTCAGAAGAAGAGTATCACATGCCTCTCACTCCCACTGTGTACACAATCCTGAGAGCAACAGACGACCTGGATTGGAGAACGAGACCCTCTTGCCACTTATGACACACAATAGTGGCAACTCTTTTGTAGAAAAGATTGGAAGCTTCAAAGCCTACTGAAAACAGGAAAAAATATGAACTGAAAACAGGAAAAAATATGAACTGAAACACATATTAAGTTGAGAACTATTGGAAAATAATGCCAAGTTCGAAAGAGAATATTTCCTAGTAAAAAGGAGTTTGAACCAAATAACATGGCAAAAAACAAAGATTTCCCATCTGTGTGCCAAAAGTAGCATTCACAAGAGTACAAAAAAATTCTGAGCCAGGATAGGTAAATTCTTATAAATTTTTTAACAAAAGGGAATGGAAAGTTGAGGACAAATTTTAAGGCACATTGAATATCAAGACTAAATCTATTATACTGGAGCCTAGACAGCCCTCATACATTGTCTCTAAATTCACTTCAGTCTCTTATTTCACCTTGGCAGAATGTACTCATTGTGCCTTGTGATACAGCTTAAAATAAGGAACTTACATGCTCTGATGCAGACGCTTTCATCCTAGAAAGAAAAATAAGATACACATCTCTAAATCTTTGCTGTGCGTACAATAGAATTGTTAAGGCTGAAGCTGTAGCTCACTCTGACTTATATCATTATGCTAATGATAATGTGGCTCTCTGACAGTCTGTAATTGTTACTGTTTTCTTTGCATTCTGAAGGAAAAGTGTTCTCAACTCTAATCCATTCTCATTTTTTTGATATGTGCATTTTATGAATCATGGATGGCATTATGTCCCCTTGAATTCAAAGATCTTTGTAAACTACTGGTTGTCTTTTAACTTTGTTTGATATTCAAGGTCATCCACCCAGGACCACTATGAACTTCCCAGAACTCCTCCCTACTGTAGCGGTCACCCCCTACTCCAAGAATCTAGAATTCTATTTAGTATTTTCTGATGTCTTTTTTCTTTTAGGCATTTCTCTTGGTTGAGATTATGAATCTCTCACATTTCTGCATGCCCAACTCTATTCAACATAGGACAAACATCTCATAAAGTCACAGCCAGAAACCATCTCTTCTTTAAAACCCTATTATTATGCTATTTTCCAGATGAGATCTATAACACATTTTTAAAATTTTAATTTATTTATATATTAATGTACTTTATTTTCTGAAGAGTCATAAGTTTCTTAAAGCTAGGGGCTCCACAGACTGGAGCTGAAAATTAGTAAATTTCTTCAAGGTATATAACAAAAGCCTACTGAATAAATGAGTGCACTAGTCACTCTTGTCATTTACCCTCACATGGAAGAATAAAGAATCAGTAAATCTTCAACACCGCACACACACAACTATAGCCATATAATTTTTACCTTTATGAGTATAATTATAGGTAAAATATAGATATCAAGCTATTCAACCATTAAGAACTCAAAACGTAAGATCCTTGACACTGTGGTAATATCACAGGTTCAAAAATGTGTGGAGGAAACTTTGATAGCACATATTGGAGCCCTTGCCAAAGATGCCTTAGTTGGAAGTAGGGCTTTTGGATTTATAACACAACAGCAGCAAGTCATGCGTGCTGTTATTTTAAGATTGTAAACAGATTTTTCAAAACCTTCTTCAAAATATAATCTTTTGAAATTTTTCATTAACAAAAGATATTATAGAGAATTATCTTTGAAAAACTATGCAAACAACTCCTGTCTTGGAAAGTCGCAATGTAAAGTGGCATTGTAAATATTTTCATAAACCTTTTAAAAAGATTGTTTAACCTTCATTAACATTGTCTCTCAATTATAATTGCTCTTCGAACAGTCTGTTTCATATTAACAGATATGATTTTAAAAAAAGTCTTCCACAGAAAATCTTTTAGAAAACAAATACTCTGTATATTTATATAAAATATTTGAAGCTAAGATATTACTTAGAATATAAAACACAAAAAGATATATTTTAACCACAATCTTAAGGATGGGATATTTACAGTGTTTTATTTTTGGTTTATAAATGTTTCTATTACCTGCGATAGAAATCCCAGAGCAGGAGTGAGAGGCAGGCCTGCACTATATGTACATGTGTGGACCTGTCCACTGTACATACAGAATATAGGTAAAAGGAGGATGGGGTATCGAAGGGTCTCAGAACACTCTAACTGTTGGCACCAGTGGAAGAAAACTAAAAATGCATTGAGAAGATCTCAAAAATCCATTCTTGCAGCAGCATTCTTTTTGCCTTAATTATATTTGCTTTATTTTTTAATTTCCTTTTTAAAGAACTGCTCAGATTAATATATGTCTCAGATTTTATAATGATAATTTATTGAACAATTTTGCGTCAAGTCCTTCAATTATATTCACTATTAATTACATGATCTTATTTCTGTGAAGCTGGATAGCATACTATCCTGACACATCTCATATTTTTAGAACTATATTAAAGAAATAACAAGATTATAGCTTAAATTCATTGGTGTCCTAGTTTAGAACATTTAGTTCCAACTATCAGATAAGCCAAGATAAAATTTATAGGAATGTCTGAGAGGTTTAAATTTATTTGTACTCTCCTTTTGACTAGTGCCACATAATTAGGATATAATGAGTCATGTTATAAAATTTTGCTTAGTGAATGCAAAAATCAGATTTTTACACTCATACAGTATGAAAGATCATTAAAGATAACTGTAGCTATTTATTTATGCACCTTTACATCTAAATTTTCATATATCTCTCTATAAGATTATAAATTGAGTAATCTGTAGCTTAAAATATGATCTTGATAAAATTATTAACTAATCTAAAAATGTATGTTCTCTTGACAATAAATTAAATTCTGAGAATGTTTTACTAAAAAAACATATCCTTTTATATCGCCATCCCAAGCATTCTAATGCAGCATAACAATAACAGCATTTGACATAGCATAATGCTAAATAGAAATATTTAGTAAAAGTAAGAAAGAGGACTTGTCCTGAATCAGTACCCAAATGAGCTTATGCAATAAACATCAAATGTCTAAATTTTAAAGACCACCACACATGGAGCTGAGTAGACAAAGGAAAAAGAACAAAACAAGACAAAAAGAAAAACCCTCTGTCTTTGCCATTACCATTGGGCCATTCAGTGTATGTTTAAACCATTAAGAGAAGGCACAGAAATAAGGTTTATTAAAGAAAATGTTCAAAAGTTTCCAGAATTTTATGAAAAGAAGATAAGTAATCACGACTGTATTTGGATCTTTGAATATGGGTTCATTACCATGATCAGAAAGCTAGGTATATATTTTTAATGAAACCATATTGGCCAACCTCTTCTTTCCTTTAGAATATCAGTTGGGGAAAATATAATTTCCCTTCTTCAGGGCAACAGTTCATTTAATAGCTCAATACAAAGGAATCAGAAAGAAATATCCCATTTTTATAATACCTTTCGTGGTCAAGGTATATTTATATACCCTATAAGAAGAAATAAGGCAACTGAGATTTGAAAAAATAAAACAGACTTCACAAGGAGTGAAGCTAGAGTATGATAAAAGTTCCTTTTTAAATGTTAGAAAAATTAACAGTATAATACAAAGAAATAGTAATCTGTTACATAGAGTTTGAACTAGTTGGTTCTACTCACGTCTAACTAAGAAAAATGGCATTTCTGATATAGAGAAGGTAATAGTATGAAAACAATGGGGATTTTGTGGATATACTTTCCATATCTTTCTTATGAGTAATTTTCATTCAGTGTGTATAAAATTTAAAAAACTATTTTGTTCTGTGATATTAAAATGAAAGCTATGTGATTTTACTCTCCCATTAAGTATCTGTCCGAAAGGTCAATGCTCAGGGTTCAGAGTTATTATTTTTCAAGATTAGATAACTCAATTTTACCTGAGGAATCTACAGGGAATTCAACATTTTGAGATGAAATAGCCACATGTCTCTTCTGAAAGTCTTTGCTAATTTTTAGATCTTTCTGATGAAATAATCGCTAAATTTACCTTGTTACAAATTACTGCGGCAAATATTAGCACCTTTGAGTCACTATCAATACTAGTGATACTTTCTATTGTATGGCCTAATAAAAACTGTGGAATTATATTAGAAGAGCTCCATGTCTCTTCTAATTTCCCTCTAACCAAAGATATCTTATTTTCCAGGCATATAGTAGAACTCCAGTGGCGGAAGAAAAGGCTTAGAAAAGGACTGCTGTTATTAAAATCATTCAGATTTTCTTAGTTGTAGAAGTATAGCTAAATGGATTGAATGGTCCCACAATCCAAAGCAAGTTATTCACTTCAAATTGTGGACCTGATGAATAAAATGGACATTATCTTATTTTCAGAACCTCTGTAGAATTATGACAAAAACTGCAGTTCATTAAGTATTTGTGAACCACAAGTCCCACTATATTATCAGTTCATTATAAACGCCCAGGTGACCTTTCCATGCAAAAATTCATGAAATAATGCTGAAAGCAGAAAACAATGACACCTAATAAAGCATATATTGAAAAACAGAGTGAATCAAACTGGTAGTAAAAACATGACCTTCCTCCATAAGGTCAAATATTTTTATTTAGATTTAACACTACAATACAGTATATATCTATTAAAAAAAGAAAACTCTATAGTGTATATAAATTATTCCTTCCATTCATCAATTCTTTTCCATTACAGCTTTGGTACAATGTGATTTAGTATATAATTTTTAAATACTTTTAGCATCACAAACTCAACACAAAGTACAAAACTAATCCAAATTAGGGATATTATAATCTACACAGTGGTATTCAGTGGTAGGAGAAAATCTTACCTTGATGAATTCATGTCACTAGCTAAGCTATGAAGGCATACCTAGCAGACATGACAGTAATATGCACCATTAACCAGCTAATGTGTGTATTAGTCTTTGTTTAGTTTTTACAGAATACCAGCAGCAATCATTTGAGGGTTGAGAGAATGCTTAAATCCTCAGTCATTTTCCCCAACATGCTCCTCTTCCCTTAAAGGCCATGAATAATATTCGATGAAATGTTCTACAGCCATAGCTCTCAGAATTTGACTTGCCAACCAGCATTGCTCATACTTGCACAGTTTGTCCGGCAGCTAGCCGACATCATAGGGACAGTGCTGGAGGGGCAGTGTGTACCAATCAGCCTAAGGTTGTTCTGAGGGGTTGGCGGTGTGATATTACAGTAAACAGGCATTCCAGTGGCTGGGAGTGACCCTTGGCCTGCCTGGTTAGGTAGCATGATTGGCTGTTGGTATGACTGCTGGGGCAGTCCTTGAGAACCTTGGGTCATTGGCACCTGTAGAAAGACATAAACAAGAGCGCCGTGTGAAAAGATGATTTTGCAATGTCCAACGAACATTGTGGTGTTACTAAAATTACTCAGGCTTTTTTTTTTTAATCCAGTTCTGGGAATCAAATTTACGGCCTTGCACGTTAGCTAAGTGCTCTACTACTGAGCTACATCCCCAGCCAAATTCAAGTTTTGGAGTTAGACATAAGAGATCATCAATCCTATTTCTGTCATTTATCAGCTATTTTTCACTTGGAGAAATCAGTTAACCTTTCTGATGACCTACATCATTTGGATAATGACACCTATTTCAAGGAGTCCCTGAAAGATTGCTGGGATAATACACAGTGCCGGACACAATATCTGGCCTGAACTAGGTGCTCAGAAAAAATTAATTCCCTCCTCTCTCTCTATGTTCCTCAGTCTGGATCTTTCACCCTGAGTTTGTTAGTTTGGAAAAACATGCCCCATTTCTGCACTTGTGCCACCAAGTGGCTTGGAGACATCCAGAGTAAGAGGGACACGATATAGGTAGGAGGGCCTAGAACAGATTCTTTGGGGCCGCAAGTACTTAGTGTAGCTAAATTGAATGACCAAACATGTCACCAACTCAGGGCATTTCAATCACCAATGAGTATATAATAGTTCTTAAATACTCAATTTGGGTTTATTTGAAAACTGTAGGTGTTAAGCCCCATCAGTGCCTTTTAAGTGAATCTAATGTGCCATTTAAAATTCTCTTAAAATTATGCTGAAATAAAGTTTCTTTAGATGTGTACAAAAATGAATGGGAACTTGTTATGTGGGCTTTCTATGGCTAGCAAAATTTCAATAAAAGACTTCGATAGAACATAATAAATATTTTTCCACAAATAAAAAGTTTATATGGAAACAATTTTAAGGGGAATTCAAAAGCCATAGCACACAGAAAAGTACAAGTTTGACATCTTCTTTTATAATTTTTTTTATATATACTGGGGATCAAACTCAAAACCTTGTGCTTGCAAGGCAGGTGGCAACACTACTGAGCCTAAATCCCAGGCCCAACTTTAATAATCTCCACTCAAATTCAACTGGCAACAGTGTCCAGGCCAAGTACCCACTCCAGCCAACCATTCAACATAGGAAAATACCCAGACTTTACTTTGCAAGTGCTACTTTATAACCACAAATTCCCCAAGCTGCTGCTGCCCACCTGATAAGAAGACATTGTTGGGTAGGAGACCATTACACTTTGCACCGGAGTCCCTTGTTGGTTGCTCATCACACTCTGACTTTGAGGTGGCTGCTGCAATCCCATTAAGCCTTGGAAGCCCTGTTGACCCGACAAGACTGGCTGATAACCTGAGAAGAAAAGTGACTTTTTGAAGTTGCTGTTCCAACAAAGCACACGGTTCTGCTTCATGGGGGTGAGAGCACTTGATTGCAAGGCAACCTTCAGAAATCCCAATCTCCTTATCATAAACAGATTATCCTATGAATGCATTTGTTCTACTTCTAAGAGTGGACATAACTATGGCTTCGAAAAACTCACCGACCTTTCTATTGTTATACACCCCTTCCATTGAGCACATGTGACAATGGCAAATCCTTCAGGATACCAAAGTAGAAACTTCTCTTCACATCAGCTGACTGCTGCTGAAAGGTGTGAGTTGTACCTTTAATTTTGTTGTTGTTGTTTTTGATTTCGATGATATTTGGAGAATTTGCAGATTATTAAAGTTTTTAAAAATTAAATTCTTTCTAACGATTCCATCTTCCTGCACTCTCATTTCATACACCAACTTATTAATTTTGAATTCATTATTTTTTAATGTCCTACTGAATAATATAACTTGCTACCCATGAACCTAGAAAAAAAGGCACCAATGAGTGAAAGGAATTTCATATACTTGTTCTGAATTATCACTGGCTCCTAACATAATGTTCTGGTGAAATAATAGTTGATCATGTAGGTACATTAGTTTTATAGAATACATCTAAAAGTTAATCTATATAGTGTCCTTCTGCATGGGCCAGTTGGTTGGCATTTTTTATAAGTGGACCAATAAATTTTAATTATTTTACACATTCCTCAGCATAAGTGGCTTAAAATGCAATCTTAAAAGAAGCCCTTGAACTCTTCTTATACATTTTGGGAAGGAAGCTATTGTTTCAATGAAAATGGAGTAGTGGTACAGAAATATTCACTTCATGCTAAAAATAAGTTTACATAATTCACCAACCTGAATACTCAAACATAAGTGGAACTTCTGTCCTAAAACAATCTCCTGAAAGAGTAAAATTTTTTAAAATCTAGGTTTTAACATAAGAACTGAACTGTTTTTCAACCAAATTTTAAAAAGAAACGATTACAACAATCTAATCAATATGCATCATTGGTAATAACACGTTGAGTGCACAGGAGTCTTAACTTCGTATTAAATAATAAAATGATAGTCTTCATAGAAGAACAGACTTTGCTTTCCTTTTTGTATAAAATGCATCTCCAGCTGGGCACACGGGAGCACATAATTCTACACACTCCAAAAGCTGAGGCAGAGAGCTCAGCCTTAGACTCTTAAGAAGGCTCTGCCACAGCAAAAGGCACTGGGGATGTAGCTCAGTGGTGGGGTTATTGTCTAGAACATGTGACGCTTTTGGCTCAGTCCCCAATATGATCAAAAAATTATCCATCATCTATCTATCTATCTATCTATCTATCTATCTATCTATCTATCTGTCTATCTATCTATGTCTTCATTTATTTCAAAAATATCGTGGTAAATTGGCTTGCAAAAGAGTCACTAAATAAGGAGATCGGCACAATTTCCCAAATGAATTTGAAGCGATGTATCTTAGGTCTGGAAGACTTGAAAGAGGAAGTCGGGTCCCAGGCCACATTGGGAAGTCTGGCCTATGCTTACAATTGGAAGATAGAGAAAATGTATAGCATTAAAAGTTGCCCATTGACCCTCTTATGTTTCCCCTTATTTCCCACCTGTCTTAATTCATTCTCACAGAAGCTATAACCTACTATGACATTTTTTAAACTTGTAAAGGTACCATATATTACCAACAGAAGTAAGGGTAATGGCTACTCCCCCTCTGGTATACTTCAGACCACAGTACACATTAGAAGCTCTCCTTTAATATGCTAGGTGGTCTGTTTAATAGAACCACCCGAAGTGCTGCATACATAATATATTTATAGCTTGTACAATAAGGAAAAGCATCAGATTTAGGAAAAAGAAATGCAACTAAAGCCCTGTCACTGTTACAACTACTCTCAGAATACATATGCAGTGGAGAGATTCTCAAGAAAGTATCTTTCAACATTAATTGCTAAAGAATTTCTATTAGTCGTTAGTGTGTATATTTCCCCTTCTAATTCATATATCTATTTTTTGAAAGAAGTGAGCCTATCTTACCGTTTTTATGACAATATTCCAAACCACACCAAGTGCTTTGTAGCATGTACTGTTATATACATAAGAAAATAATGATACAGTTGTAGAAAAATTACCAACTGTCTTCCTTATTGTTAGTACAATATCAAAGAGCAGGCAATATGAATTCACTGTCAATTTCATGTAAATTTAACAATAAGGGAGCTTTATTTCTGGTTGCAGCAAATAAATACAGGTTGAAAATGAGAGAAATGTCATAATTTTTGGCTTATATTTCATTATAACATGAGAGGCCAACTGGCTTCAATGGATCTTTTGCAGAACACATACTGACTGTTATGAGATAAACCAAGAAAAGAGGAAATAAAATGAGAAAAAAGAGGAGAAGAAAGAGGAAGTTGCATGGCCCAGTATTTGAAGATTATTTGTGTAGTGTATTTGCCTATGGAATCCTCCCATTCTTTCTCAGTCTTTGTTAGAAATTAATTGAGGTGGTTGAAAGAAATTCATTTATTACACCAGCTGCTTCTAAACTAAAACTGAGGTGAAGGGAGGATAATAGAGCTGTTAAAGGATCCAGAAAAGAGAATGTCTTGGTAGGAAGAGTAAGCAAGCATCCAGTGGATGGAAAAAGAATAAGGAAGTTGATTGTCCCCGTCCCACAAAGACACAGAGCTGTGAGAGTGAGATCCATCTTCATTGCCAGTGCAAATGTGGCAGCACTGCGGCCTCTCCCTTCCCAAGCTCTTCTGCATGATGATTTGTGAACTTTCATATTCTGTTATGCATAGCAGTGGGCTACCAGCTCTGCACTGGAGTCCCACAGTAAGCACACATTAAGGCAAATGAGGATTTATGTGGGCAGCAAATATGCTCCAGTCTTGAAATGAAAACTTAAGTGTAAGGAAAGCTCAGTTCATATTCATGATCCTCATTCATTTCTCAATTCACTCTCCAGGCAAGAAATATACATCCGGAATGGTTTAATCGGGGGTGCCCATCTCTATAAATTATGTCAGGAAAGGTAGGTTGCAGGATGGTCCTTCAGACAGGTGGCTGTCTGGAATATGAATCCGAGCTCTAGTTCAGGAATAGAAAAATAGAAATGAGATAGCAGTGACCTAAGAATGAACCAACAGTGTCTGCCACGGTCAAGGCACTCCCAAAGGCAGGGATAGCAGTGCTGGTGGCAACCTGCTTGTCTTGTCTATTCAAATGAGAAATGTGTTTCCGGTTTGTCAATTCTTAGCTGTGCAATGATCACTTTTTCATATTTATTGAGGATTAGGAATGTATAAGGCATCATACAAAATAGAAACAGTAACAGTCTTCTGCCTTGTAGGCCTGTTGAGATGATAAAGACTTTAGCTATTTTTATTATTTCATTCTCAGTCAAAATTGATTCAATTTCCAAGTCACATGTGCCATTTATTTTCTGAAAGTAAAAAAAGGTTAGAAATGGACAAATTTCTGGTAGCAAATAAAAGAATGCACTCTGCTAAGATAGAGATGTTATAAAATGTAAAAATGTCTAATCATGTAAGTCTGAAAACAATATTATTTCTAGTAAAGTACAACAGTTTTCAATACTGTTTGTAGTTTAAGGTTATTTTGTTAATATCCAGGCAAGAAGACAGTTCTCTTGATGAAGCACAATTATTAAAAATCAGAATATAATTTAATAAGCAGCATAAATTGGTGTGATTATGACTGCTATTTTTATTCTTAAGTACGTTGCTACGATAGAAAATTTTGGAAATGAATGAAATGATAAAGTAGTAACGTGTATTTTGATGTTTCTGTTTCTGCTACTGCTATTGCTGGAATCAAGCAGTTGAAGATGGGAAAGCAGATAGTTATAAGAACAAATTTCTCAACAAGTTCTGTCTTCCCTAATCCACCTAAGCAGTGTGATTTATATGTGCTTATTAAGTGAAGCACTCTTAATACCGTGGGACATCTTTTCAAATGATTAGTGTTAACAATCTGCTTAATATAAAAAAGTGTTTATCTTGGAGATGGATATTTCTCCAAGTTCCTAAGGAATCATAAAGCTGCTTGCTTCTGAATCCTACCTCTGATATTCGAATAAGGTTTGAGATGAAATTATAACGTGGGATACCTGGTAAAGAATATGCAGAAGAAAATGTTTATTCAGGACTACAATCTCCTTTTCTGACGTTTTATAGTTTTCTGCACTTTACCACTTTCCAATTATACTTACTTGGTTCTGTTTCTTGGCTTCCTATTCTTAAAATCTTGAAATAGAAGTCAAAAAAGGACTTAAATCAGTTTAAAACTGATTTAGTCTCTTGATTCTCCTAGGCAACTGGTTATCCCTAAAACTCACTTGGCCTTTTGAAACAAAGATAAAATTCATAATATTTAAAAGATGAAAATAAGCAAGAAAAAAGATAAACAGTGATTCTGAAAGCAGGTTCTAAGGACCTCAGATGAACCCTGGAGAAAACAATTCCTGCACCACTTAGAGATTATTATATTCTAGAGTTTATAGATTGCAACTGCTATGTTTTCTATAGTTTTGTTCCCAAGGTTTATTTCATTTCTAGGGCACTATATATACGATAGGAATAGGATAGGATATGATATCATTCTTATCTATGGTTTTGAAAAGAAAACACTGCTTTATGTCTCAAAGAAGTGAATTGGTACAATGATTACTCTTTGCCTGCAACTCTTCTCTCCTGTAAAGCAGACAGCAGCCTCAAAAAAAACTCAAGGAGACCAGGGGCCCTGAGACAATCAGGAAACTATCTGATTTCACTGGCCTATACAAACACTCTTACTTGAATACAAACCCCAGGTAAAACAACACAGGCTACGTGGGGTCAAATGGGATCAATTTTGAAAAAATAAGCTGTGAGTCTTTTGAGACATTTTGCCTCCATGCCTATCTCCCAATTTGTGAACCCCAAAGCCCCCAACAAGACCTTT